GTGTCATCCAATCGGGAACTGTAGATGTTATCCAAGATCCGAGCTGTAGGTCACCACTGTGGGTGTTATCCAAGATCCCGATTGGATACCCCGGAACAGCTGATTTAAGTCAACGGACACTATGTTTAAATCAAAGAACAAGCTTTCGCTTACCTCTATCTTGAGGAATGACCGCACACAGCAAAAACGCCGGCTGCTATGACTGACGCGATAGCACCCAGGTAGCCCGGAGTCAGGACCTCTCCAGGAGCCACTGCGAGTTCTTTGCCCTTGCTGCCGTCACTCTACAAAGGAAGCACCCTTTTGGACCTTCTATTGCACTTTGAATGGACTTACAAATTTGGAGGTTACACAACTTGTCATTAACACGTGCTTCTAAATAAACGTTATGAGTTCTCGCGAAATATCTGTATCCTTAAGGACCGTTCAAATGCGAACGCTGCTTAGCATTTTACGGGTGTCGAGTACACAATAGTACATTATGAAACTATGATGTATTGATGGGTATTAATACATGAATGTAATAGGGACGAGCGAGTATCGTAAACTTCATATGAGTGTATATTTTCCACGACTTATGGTAACTTTTATACGTTCAGCTTTTACATTGAATAGTTTCATGGCAGTTGGCATGCAAGATTCAGCCAAGGCCACCTATCGGCAGCTCCCTACCCAGCCGCGGGTACTTTGGTTTACAACTGCGCTAGTCATATAGGATCAAAGTGAAATTACGATCTAATTTATTTTCAATAATAATTCAGGTAAAAAAAATAATTAATAAACGAAATTAAAACTGATTGTGTCAATATTTGGTTCGTAATCTTCCCTGTGATTGGTCAAAAACCTGAATCATTATGAAATTTGTCTCGTAATCGGTATCATTATACAACACGTTGCAGCCATCAAAATGATAGAATTATACAGTGGGAGTAAATTTTTTTTAAAACGACTAGCGTCCAACGTTATGATGCATTAGTGAGTGTAATTTAAGAAGTTATGCCCAACATTTCGATTTAAACGAAGGTGGTTCTGAATTGTGTGGAGATAATGCATTACATTTCCATAATGCTCCTCTTCCTAATTATTCACATTTATTTGACTAGAGTTCTCACCAACTACTGATCTGGATATGTAATTATATTATACCAGTGGTCCCAATAACGATTTGCTATTGCAATGTAATGGCGTTCTCCCGCTACTGGTCACGTGATTGTTAATCGTGTTTTACTATTCCCTCTGCAAAAAGTTTCATAAATGAAAGGCTTTCTCGCTATGGATTTGTTCATTATCCTGATTTGGACATGGTTATCAAATTGTTATCGAATTGTTATCGATCTCCCTCAGGTTTGGGCATGCCTTCACTATTACACTGTCATGGACAAATTTGATTTACTTTTTCGTAATAACGTTCAAGCAATCATTCCGGCCGATATTTCACAATCGTAGGGGCAGAATATTGTGACGTCATAGATACTCACAGCGAACATAGACACAGAGCTTTCATATAACAAATGTATTTATGTACAAAGAAAACACAACAAATATTTACAATTAATTACCTTCTTACACCCTAGCTCTGATAGACCTACTATCCCCTGATCGCGGGAGCGATCCAAACCAGATTGACGATCGGTTTCGATTGTGGCATTCGCCACTCATACTTCTGAAGTGTGCACAAAGCCTAGCTTCCGTGACAATGTCACACTGGGACACAAAAGTCCGTAGTGGCGTACCAACTGATGGTTTGCCACGATCGCAGGAGCGATCTTATCCCATTGAGAATCAGCAATCGTGGCACTCAACCACTCCTCACCTCGGAGCACGCACACAGCATCGCTCCCACGTGACCGCAGT